GGGCGCTGGGGCCGCCCCCGCAGGGCTCTGCCGGCGCTGCCCCGCGGGCCGAGGGCCGGCCGAGCGCGGCGTGCCCGGAGCAGGAGGAGTGCAGCGTGTCCGCCGACACCGTCCTTGTCCCGCTGCGGGCAGCCCTGGACGCCTGCCGGGCCACGGTGCAGGTGAGGCTGCGGCCCCTCCCGCCGCCTCGACCCGCGGTGCCGGACGGACGGCAGCCGGGGCAGCCAGGCTGGGGCTGCCGGTCTCCAGGAGACCTGAGGGGGGAAGAGAGCCGCTCCTGCCCCGGGGCTCCCCAGAGCTGGGGGGGGGGCACGTCCCCCTCACTCCCAGCTCACCTCTGCTTCCAGAAACAAGTGTGCAATGACATCGGGCGGCGGCTGACAGTGCTGGAGGACGCGTGGGCTCAGGGGAAGCTGTCGGCACCAGTGAGGAAGAGGATGAGCCTCCTGGTACAAGGTATGGGGTGAAGCGGGCTGCAGCCGCACCAGCAGCAGGCCCTGGGGCAGAGGCACCTGCGGGACGGCGGATCCTGCTCCCCTGACGGGGCTGTACCCCTGTCCTGGCAGAGCTTCAGCAGCAGCACTGGGATGCGGCTGATGAGATCCACCGCTCGCTCATGGTGGACCACGTGAACGAGGTGAGCCAGTGGATGGTGGGCGTCAAGCGCCTCATCGCTGAGACGCGGGACCTGCCCACCGCAGAGACGGACGGCAGCGCTGACACCGAGCCCGCGACTGAGCCTGTGACTGAATCCACGTCCGAGCTGGAGCAGGAGGAGCCCTGACACCAGGGACGGGGCTGTGGACTGTGAGCGGGGCAGCTCCTACCCAGGGCCCCCGGCAGGAACAGGGCCCCTGCTGCTGGAGGGAGTCTGGGCACCCCCGCTGCCTCCCAATCCTCATCCAGGAAAAGGGGATTTTAATCATTGCGACATTTTAGTGGCGATTCATTATGTTTAATAAACAGCACCAACCTGCCCCCTCCCACAGTCTCCCTGAGGGTTCTGGCACTGACAGGTCCTGGGGCTCCCAGGGTCAGCAGGAGATGGGATTGCTGGGTGAGGCCATGGCTGCTTCATCAGGCTTGGCCATGTCAAAGGAAGAATTCAGCATCTGGCTGGAGCAGGCAGTACTGTGTGTCCCTGCTGCACTGGCTGGCAAAGCCTGGCCCCTCATCTGGCAGTGGGGGGCCTGCAGCAGCCCCAGAGCCCAGCCCTGCTGCAGGAGGGATCTAGGCTGGCTGTGGAGGCCAATGTGCCAACAGCCCCTGGCATGACCAGGGTTTGTGCTGCAGCCACAGCCCTGGCTCCCATTTGGGCTCCTGCTGTCCTGGAGCACAGCTCCGAGCTGAGTCTAGAACCCGAGAGCTGGGGGACTGCAGGGAGGTCCAGGGACAGACACATGCCTAGTCAGGTGTTAACTGTGCTGTTCTCCCCAAGTTCACGGGATGGCCTCACCAGCTGCCTCCACCACAGCTGAGAACAGACCCCCAGGCCCTCACCACCCCCACCTGCAAGGCACCCTCTGCACCCTCCTGGTGCTGCTCACCTCCCCTCCCTGGGGGCGAGGACCCTGCTGAGCCCTGACAAAGACACACACCATGTTAGCACAGGGGTTTCACGGTGTTTATTGATCAAGCATGAGCTCCTAGGCAATTGCACCAGCCACTTGTGCTAGAGCCTGAGGTGTCACACGTCCATCCCCAGCATCAGAGAGGGCTGCAGCCAGCTGGTCACGGTGCCAGCACCTCCACGAGGCCCAGGAACAGGCCCAGCCATGGCCTGGAGACGGGGAGATGGAAACTCAGATGTCCATCTCAAACTGGTCTTGATCTGCAAGGGCATGGATGGATACAGGAGCAGGGTTAGGATGGGGCTGGGCTTGGCAGACACAAGCAGGCAAAGGAAGCAGGAGCTGCACCTGGGGCCAGGTTGGGATCTCGCCCTGTCCCATGCCCCAGGCAGGCGGTCCCTGGGCAGGGGCCGTGGCCCTGGGCTGCTCACCTGGCATGGCCTCTTCGCTCTCATTCCGCCCCTTGAGCTCCTCCAGCTTGACGAGGCTGGACTGGGCCAGGGATGTGACACCGGGGGTCTGGGGCAGGCAGCAGGGAGGGGTCCTGGCCGCGGGTGAATTCTTGCACTCCAGCAGGAACTTGCGGTCGCAGATGATGCGGGTACCTGCCAAAAGCGGGGGCGGTCAGGCACTGCCGGCCCTGGTCACCCCTGTCCCTGAGCACCTCAGCCCAGAGCAGGGGGTGGGACCCAGTGCTCGGCCATGGCTCATGGACACATCTGGCTCTGCAGCCACCACGTCTGGCTTCCCAGAAGGCAGCCTGTGACACCCATCCTGCTCAGCAGCTATTCCCCACATTATTCCTCCCCTTCAGGATGCAGCACAAGGGGGTCCAGCCTCCCAAGGGCTACCCCATGGTGGCCAACACAGGCCACCCCTGTGCTGCCTGGAGGGCAGGGCCAGTCCTGAGGCACATAGCGAGGCCCCAGCCTGCTGGCCAGGCAGCAACAGCTTTGTGTGGTACCCTGTTCCAGGGTGGAGCAGCAAGGGCTGGGTATCCCACGGTGGGGACCCTGCAAACCTGTTCCCATTGTCTCAGCCAGCCACCTGCTGCTCCCTGCAGGAGGACAATAGCTGGGTTCGATGGGACATCTCCTCCAGCCTGCTGGGTGTGCAGCGTGCACCCAGGGCACATGCTGCCTCCTCCCCATGCTCCAACTGCCTGCCAGCAGCGCCTGAGGTCACACCAACCTGTGTGCCACGTCTGCGGCCCGGCCATCCCCTGCCCATCCCTCCCTGCAGCCCAGCACCAGTTCCCCGCCCGGCTCTGGCAGTGGGTGCAGCCCAGGGTTCTAGGGAGCCCAGAGCTGATGCCCGAGGTGCCAGTGAGCCTGGAGCTCCTGCTGGGCACTGCAAACACCTTCCACAGCCCTGCACCAGGCTGAGCTCTCTCACCCCAGAGAAGCTTAGCTGAAGGCACAGACAGTCAGTGCCCACAGGGCAGGCACCTGTGGCTCAACCCAAATATGGCCAGCTCAGGAATGACACACATGCTTCCCCGAGGACAGACAGCAAAGAAAAGACCTGCTCAATGGCTGACCCAGGGGGTCAGAAGGGGGAAGGAGGACAGGTCTGTGGGAGCCCTGCCACCCAGGGCTGGTGAACTCAAGTGGGCACAGACTCAGGCATTAGTTACCCCCATGCTTTCTCTGGATCCAGGCAGAGCCTGCCCTGAGGGACCAGCACTGCACTCACCAGCCCCCTGGCACTGCCACCAGCTCTCTCCCCAGAAGCACAAGGCCCTGCCTCTGCCTATACCCCCCTGTAACCACAGGGCAGTGATGGTCCGAACTTTGAGCAGGATCTTCCTACAAAGCTTGGGGGTTTCCCTTTTCCACTTTAGTGGAGGCTGCTGGGGCCACTTGGATCTGGTGCCCAGAGCAAGTGCCCATGTCCTCAGGGAAGGAGCTGTGCAGGGAAGAACCCAGCCAGGGACGCATGCAGCAAAGAGCTGCCTATGTTAGGCAGGGCTGGGGTGGCCAAGGCTGTTCCAGGGACAACCCCATCCCCCATCCCCCATCCTGGGTTTTGCCCTCTGGTGTCATGGAGCAGACTGTGCCACCCTCCCTGGAGCTGCAGCCCTCAGGATGGGGAGACAGTGGCTCCCCAGGATGGGGCAGGAGGAGGTGGCTTTGCTTGCTGCAGCCAAGGAACCCACAGAAGTGGGCAGCCCAGCCCTCCCCTGCACCTGCCCCAGAGAGCACACACCTACTGCACCACAACACTGCTTGCTTCCAATACAATGGCTGCTGACACGGGTCCCCTGCCCACGGCACGGTGTTGGACTGGGTGACCTTTAAGGCCACTCCCAACACAAACCTTTCTGTGGTTCATTCTGTGTGTATCTCCTTTGGTGTTGGCACTATCACTGGGACAGCAGCAGTTCAATTTTTTTTTTTGGTTTAATTTTGTCCTCAAATACCAAGAAAAATATCTGAATATACCATCCAGTAGTGCTTCCAAGGTTGATTTGTCTGTGGTACGTAGATAGTGCTTGTGCACTTTGAGTTTTCAGTACTTCTTTATGCTTTTACTGGGGAAACTCTGCTGCTGCATGTAAGGATTTGTCTGGATAAGGTGGAAGAAGGTGAAGTCTCCACCTGGTCTGAGATTGATGCATTGGATTAGACACTACGTGCACTGGAGTTTCCTGCTTAAGGAATGGATTCCATGTAGTTACTGTATTGCTTTGGAGCAAAAGCAGAACTAAGCACAGTCCAAGTGCAGAAAGTGGAGAACTGGGTCAGGAGTTAACATTCATCTTAAGCAGCATGCAAAAATCCTCTTCTTCCTCACAGAAAGGGCCGAGGAGCTCTTAGCACTGATTTACAGCATTACAAGAAGCTTATAACTGAACCTATTAAATTTTCCTCTAATGAGAAGCACTTTTCTAAGATCTGCTTCTGGGCGGGTGAAGAACTCTGCATTCTTGTCAGCCCTTCTTTGCAGCCCTGAGCAAAACCTGATCTCTCAGGTGACACCTGCCAGAAGCAGCAGAACTAATTGAGAAGGAAAAGACCGTAACACAGAAGCAGGTTCACACCAATAAAAGGCTCACAAGTGGCAGGGGCAAGGACTCTGCAGACCCCTGTGGCTCCAAACCCTCCCAAACCTGACTGCACCCACGTGCTCAGTACGTGACCCTGGGGAGATGTGTCACTGAGCACAGCAGCACCTACTGGGGACAATAACATACAGCCCTTTCCAAAATTCTCACACACAACCTAGAAATGCTGTTTGCCTTTTATTGAGTATTCAGGTAAATATTTCACATTAATACAGGCTACATAAAGTAGAGCCACTATACGACATGAAATTTACTCAGCTTTTCCTTGTAAGTCTGTAAACAATTATACAGGTATTTACCACCCTAAAAGGTCAAAATCATGTCATCAGCTAGTTCTCTGCTGCATACAAGGAGCATTCAGCAGTGTTTAGCCAAAAAGCACTAGTTTTGTCTGATTTTTAAGTTTGAAGTGGCTAAACTAACTGGAGAACAGAATCAGTTTGTATAGGTAAGTCAATTTGTTCTTATACAATGGGCAATTGAGATTCCATTGTTACAGCCCACAGAAAATCACTTAGTTAGGCACATGAAAAAAATCCCCAGGGTTCTTCAAGGTCATAAAGATTCCCAAACCAGGCTAAAAAAGGACAGACCCCCTTAAATCAGTTGACGTACTTGAGATGCATGTTTCCAATGTGAGGTGCCCAGGTGCCAGGCCAAATCTACAGCAAGAAATAAAAAAACAAATCTATTATAAAAACAAATAAAGGTTCCTTTAACAGTGTTTTACCACTGAGGGTGAGCATAAGGCTTCCCTCAAAATACAACCAGACTGTCCAAAGGCAGGAGCTCTCCAGCTCTGGCCAAGGTCTGACTAACAACCTGCAAGGTGCTGAGTATGGAAATAAGCCCTCTCACTTGTAAGAGTCCATTACCTGGCTGAGCAGTCTTGAAATGCTGCTTGTTTTACCTGGAAGGTTTAGTATCAATAGCACCATGGAAATTTTATGAACACATGCACACACACACATACTGTAGGGAAAAGTCATGCAAACAACCTCAATCCTAGTTTCAAAGAACTGAAAAAACCAAATGTGTCACCCAGCCAAAACTGGGTCTCACAGCACCATATGAAGCCCCAGGAAAGCACAGGTGGGAAAAGACAGCCACACTACCTGCTGAGCATCAGTACATTCTGTTGAGTTCTGGACAACTTTGATCATGGGATTCCAGGCAGGATCTGGAGTATGGAGCCCGTTAAAGAGGGGCCCTCCTGGGCCATCTGCCAGCTGAGGGTGTGAGGGTATCAGAGTGCCGCCGTACATGGAGATGGGCAGGCCCTGCAGGGACAAGAGAGCACTGGTGAGGGACATGAGGAAGGGTGGCTGTAGGACCAGACAGAGCC